GCGAATTACGAGGCGCAGATTTTAATATCAGTTTTGGACCTAGGGATGAGAATATTCACTTCCAGACTTTATTTTTACGTTTTTGCTCTCTAGAAACTCATTCCTTTCATTGTATTTTTTGGCTTTTAGATTCGATTTGGAGATTGACAAACTCCTTTCTTGCTTTGGATTTGGATGCACTTGGATTTATCATTGCGATCTTTATATTAATCGTAAGTTCTTTTTCTCAATTTTTGTTGTTGATGATGTTGGCTTGGGTTAATATGATGTGTGATGTTGAATCCATAATGAGTAGCTAAATCCATTCGCTAGGGATAGAAGATGATTGATTAGGTTCGATTATCATTGCTTGCTCTTAATTGTTCATATCTATGCGAGTTGTATGCAATCTAGGGTTAGTAGATTGATCACCTTTCTAACATAGTTAATCAATTTTAGAACTGAGAGGGGAGGCGTTGGTAGAATTAGGCTCGTGTAGAATAGACTTGTTCGTCAAAGTATAGTCTATGTGTTGTTGGAATTGATAGTAGATCTTGTACGCTCACTCTCTTGTTACGAAGAGTTATTGAGAGTGAGCCTCTGGACGAGAAACGATTTAAGTCCTTTAACCGAGAAATTGATTGTCGGTCGTTGGGTTAGAACAGAAAACGATTATCCCCGATTCCCTAGCATTTTAATCATCAAGTTAATTCATTTGCTATTTAAATCGCTTTTCATTTATTTTAATGTCATTAGCTATAATTGAAATCAAAATCATTGAAATAGAGTCTTTAGGAATTTGTCGTTTCTTTTTCATGATTGAATAATCATGCAATTGAATCCGGCTAACCTTCCTTGCAATACGACCCGGGGAACGAATCTTTCGATTCTAATCCGATAAAAATACTGACAACAAAATTGGCGTCGTTGCCGGAGAAGGTTATGACTTTAATTGTGCGCCTATTCTTTTTTTAGTGTTTCTCTTTGTTTCTCTTGTTAATCTGATAGTTCTTTTGTTTGGTTGGTTGTCTTTAGCTTTTCTTCTTTGTTTATCTGGTGATCGTGACAATTTTTTTGTCTTTGTGTATGCGGACCAGGAGTGGACGTATTCTTGAACTCATCGACAAAACAAGTCATGAGAGCGTCAGAGAACTATTTGGCAAGCTTAGCCTCGATTTATTCGAACCACCTGAACCAACAAGTCCAAACATGGCTTTACAACCACCCCGTAACACCCTCCGAACCTTGGCCCAACCGGTGATCGGGCCAATCACTTCATGCATTCGGTTGCCAGATGCTGCACGGAACTATGAACTCAAAATGATTCACTACAACCAGTTGCCGGCTTTCCACGGGCTTCCAAGCGAGGACCCACTCAACTTCATCCGGGAATTTTATAGTCCTCAACACTTTCCCTCTCAATGGGCATAATGACGAGCAGTTGAAAATGAGGTGCTTTCCTGAGACACTGAAGGACCGGGTCATGGTATGGTTCATGACGCTTGCACCTGGCTCTCTCACTACCTGGACTGAGGTGTACTCGAAGTTCATTGGGAGGTACTACTCCCATCAGAAGACCCAGGAGCTTCGGTCACAGATCGTTTCATTTGCTCAATTACCTAGTGAGCCTCTTCACGAGGCTTGGGAACAGTTCAAGGCCCTCCAGCGGCAGTGCCCTCATTACAATCTCTCTTCGGGGCTACTGATGAACTGTTTCTACGACTCCCTCCACCAGAACATGCAGTTTATGGTTGACAATGCGGCATGAGGGGATATTGGAGCAAAGACGGCCGAGGAGATGTTTGAAATTTTTGAGACGATGAGCACGAACTCGTCACAGAAGAGCAGTCGAGGGAAAAGAGCAATAGTGAACGTGGTCGGAGCATGCCATGACTTGATGGCCCAACATCTAGTCGAGCTTACTGAGCAGATGAGGTTGCTCAATGCACGAGGACCTCAACCGGTGCAGACCATGGCCGTTGACACATGTGGGGCATGTGGAGTCCCAGGGCATAGGTCTGAAGTATGTCCTCTTCATTCGAGCAGGATGTCGGTGAGCAGTATGCGGATGCCAGTGCTTTACAGGGATACCAAAACCGGCCAGACAATGACCCATATTCAAACACGTATAACCCCAGATGGTGGAATCACCCCGTTTTCTCATGGTCAAACAACTCGAACACCCTTCAGCCACCACGTCCGTACTTCATGCAGCTGCAACCTCGACCCAACTTTGTGCCTCGTCCGAACTACCAACAGAAGCAGCAGCAAAGGGGACCGAAAGCCGGGTGTGTGGCTATTTGGTTGACCAGGTCTAGCTTTTATTTGTTTTAGGATGTGTCTTATTTCTTTCTCTTGCTTGTGGACCGGTCTAGTGTAGGTTTTGTGTGTTTTGGAGCATGTATTTTGGAAAATTCATGATGAGTTGAGACTTGTTTAATGAATTCGATGAGTTGTGATGATGGTATTATATGACATAGCGTGATGAAATGCTTGGTTAATAGCTTTGATTGACAGTCATATATTTGCCTAGTGAGGTTTGAGCCTTATTTCTTTCTTGAGATACATTGGTCGTGCTCTTGTTTGATTAAAACTTGCCCTGAGTCTGCATCGAAATGAATCAATTTGGGTTGTGAACTGTGAATATGATTAAGGCATTTTTTGTATTTTTCTATCCTTGTTTTTTCTTCTATAGTTATTCC